GCTGTCGCTCTTTCCTCCCAGCGACCAGGTTGGCTCGGAGCAGGTAAGGCGAGGCTGGGCGGTGGGGGTGGGGCAGTCCCCAGAGAAGGGCTGCACTCAGGAAGGGGGCTGGGAGCGGTTCGTCGGGGAGGCCTGGACCCAGGCATCGCCCCCCTGATTGGAGCAGCCGGCATCAGACAAGGTCGCCGGCTGCTGATTGGCGCTGCCTCGGTCAGGCGCTGTAGGCTGTTGTAAACGTAAACATGACCGACAGTAACCCGGGCCTGGGGACGGGGTGGGGTGGGGTGAGAGGGTGCGGTGGGGGGGAGGAGGTCCCGCCCCTCTCCATTCATGTCCCCAGCGGGTCCCGCCCGACCCCGCCCAGCCCCGCCCAACTGCCGCGGGCTCGCTGCCCACACTCAGCCCGGCTTTGTGTAGCGGAGCTGCGTGCGTCGGGGTGATGCTGCGCGGTGGAGCCAGGGGTCCCGGCAGGGGCGGGGGAGGGGGAGGACCACGTGTGAGGCCCCCTGCCTTGGCCTCTGGAGCAGCCGACTGGGGAAGCAGGGCCAAGTGGTGCTAGCGTGCTGGCAGCCACCCCTCCGGAGTTTTTGTCCAGAAGCCTCGGCTGCGTGCTTGGCACTGAGTAGGCGCTCAATAAATGCGTGTTGTCTTAACTTGAGGAGGGATAAGGGGGCGACTGCACACCTCTCCCTACGTATGGGGTTAGGACTCTTGGTAGGGCTTGAGTCGGTTGAATGAACACCAGGCTAAGAGGAAATTTGACTCCGTGTGCCCTTGGACGAGTCCCCGGCACACCCTGTCCACCCAATGGGCCTCAGTTTCCTCATTTGAAAAATGAGGGAACTGTGACCCAAGATCATTAAAATCCTTCTCAGCTTTGAAATTCTAGCTATGCTATCCCGGCCTTTTGGAAGAGAGAAGTAAGAATATACTTCAACATCAGAATATACCTCATTTTCCTCATCTGTAAACTGAGGGGTGGACCACTTGACCCCTAAAGCCCCCCTTCCAGCCCTAAAGCTTTGACCCTACAATTTGGTGGTGACCCTCTTTTCTTGATTCTCCCTCCTCTCTCCCCTGCTGGTTACAGTTCTGTGGGCAGCCACGAAGTCTTGAAACCTCTAATTAGCTCTAGCTGCCCCCAGCACTCTGGTCAGAAGAAACTGGGAAGGGGCCTTTTTGGCCGCCCTCAGGTTTGCTGCTGAGAACCACGGTGAGTGAGCAGAGCGGTTTGCATACTGATCCTTTGTGAACTGCCTTGAGGCAGGCGGGGAGGCTGTAGCAAGGCCGGGCAGACACCATGCACTGGGCACTGGATAGGGACAGCTAAGCAGCTTGGATGAAAAAGCATTCTACCTCCAGCTAGCTAGCTAGCTCCCCCATAGCCAGGTCTCTATCCTGCCTGAGCCTGCCATGGGTGCCTGAGGCTTATGGCCTGTAGTTCCAAGAGTCAGCACTTTCTGGGAGTGTAGAAAGTTAACTAGCAGTCACAGGACTCGGCCCCCACTCAGTGACATTTCACCCAGTTCAAAGCAATGATAGGGTATGAGAGGATGCCCTCAGCCACTGAGCAGTCAACAACAGGAGCTGAGAGTCCCCTTTGTCCAGGCCCTCTCTGTGGGACTAGGTGGGGTAGGCAGCATTTATAAATGGAGGCGTTTATAAAGGGCGCCCAATCTGATGGGGAAGGCAGTACTATTCAGAGGAGGCCCAGACACAGCCTCAGATGGCATGAGAAGGGAGGAGAGATTAGAGCAGAAGCACAGATCTACATCCTCTGAAGGACCCTAGAGGGGCAGTGGTCACAAGCACCCTAGACTCCAAGTTGATTTGAATCTTATCTCTGATACTAGCTCTTTGAGCATGGCCACTTTATTTAACCCCTTTGAGCCTGTTGGGTTTTCTTCCATCTGTAAAGAAGAGATGATAAATTGCTAGTGATAGCTTCTATGTCTGGAGTAATTTTTTCCCATAATTCACAGACCCCTTGAAGTCTATTGCAGTCTGTGGACCTCGGGTTAAGAACCCCTGCTTGTATTTTTTTTTTAATTTTTAGGCAATTGGGGTTAAGTGACTTGCCCAGGGTCACAGAGCTGGTAAGTGTGTCAAGTGTTTGGTCTGAGGCCGGATTTGAACTCAGGTACTCCTGACTTCAGGGCCGGTGCTCTATCCACTGCACCACCTAGCTGCGCCCCTCTGCTTGTAATTTTGCAAAGCAGGTTCTGAAGTGCAATGGTGGGGCAAGATTCCCCTTCCCCCCCTCCCCTCACCCCAGCTCTCTACACTGACTTGGAATTACAGGTCCAGTTTAAATGATAAGGTAAGAAAAAGATTGTGTAACCTTTAGAAGACTAAGTAAACATGTTACTTTTATCTAATCCAACACCCTGCCCAATGGATGAATCCCTTCTAAAAAAAAATGCCTGAAATCTAGCTCTGTTTGGAGACCTCTAGTGACATGGAACTCATTACCTGGTTAGATCGACTTTTCTATTATTTGTCAGCTACAATTGTTAGAAAGTGCTTCCTTACCTTCTGCACAAAAATGTTTTCCTTCATTGTTCTCAGAATTTAGCCTTCTGAGAGGGAGGAGACTAAATGTAATCCCTGTTCTACATTGTAACGCTTCAGCTGTTGGGAAGCAAGGTCACCAGGGCTTCCAGGAGGTCCTAAGGAAGGGAAAGGAAATAGCCATTTATATATTGCCTACTACTGTGCTTGGCACTGTGCTTTTTTTTTTTTAATGTACAAATATTAACCCATTTGATCCTAGAAGGAAAAAGAGTGGAGAGGGTCCTTCGGCTAGGGAGGATTTGGGCATAACGTGGTGGAAAGAGGACACGTGCCTGTGTACAATGCTATACATTGTATATATGTGCAATATACACATACATAAGCTGTACAGAAGGTAGTGTTATGTATTGGGACTAACGCTGGACTTGGAATGAAAACACCTCGATTTGAATGCTGGTTCTGCCATTTACTAGCTACAGGACTGTGATTTCCCCAGCCAAGCTTCAGTTTTCCTATCTGTGAAGTGAGATAACGCACTACTTCCTTCAGAGGCAACCTGTTGTGAGGAAAATTTTGTATGAACTACCCATTATCAGAGCTGTCCTGTTTATAAAGTGCTTTCAAAAACCTTTTTTTGGGGACAGCTAGGTGGCACAGTGGATAGAGCACCGGCCTTAGAGTCAGGTTCAAATCCGGCCTCGGACACATAACACTAGCTGTGTGGCCCTGGGTAAGTCACTTAATTCCATTGCCTAGCCAAAAACCCCTATTTTATTGGTTGTGAGAGGAGGGGTAGTTAGTGAAAGTGGCCCTAGTGATTGGGATTGTGCCTTGTCAGGACTTTCATGGGTCCAGGGCCCTGAAACTTGGCCTAGGTTGGCTGGGGGGCTGGGGTGGATAGGGAAAGGGTCTGGCTTTCAGAGTTTTAAGGGGAAATCAAGGACACAGCCCTTAGCAGAGCCTTTGGGGTCCTCCAGATTCCCCATCGCCCTGGAGCAGGCAGCAACACTAAGATGTGCCTAGGTCAGGCACCTGCTGATTAATAAACATCAGTCCTGGAAAGAGATCAGTGTCCTGAGTTCCAGCTCCTTGTGTGACTGTGGCCAGTCCATTACTCTGCAAGATGCAGTACTGTCCTCTCTTCAAAGTGAGATTCAGGCTCTTTCCCTGAGGGGCTGTGGAAGGTTGGAGCATCTGCCTCCTCCACCCAGGGACTTCTACAATTGCCCTAACTGAATGCCCCAATGACCAGGTGAAATTGAATATGGGAGGCCAAGGCCGAAGAATCCAGTTCCCAGTGGCTGATCTATAGCTATGGTGAGCTCTAGCCTGTCCTGAGCCTTCAAAGCAGACTCTGACTAGCCTATCTTGCCTGGGACCTGCTGGTCTTTCTTTGGCCTCAACTAGGAGAACTCAGGGTCCTTTTTATCCTTCTTTGTGGCCTCAGGAGGGCTTCCTGTATTATCTTGGCTGCTTCACAACCTCCATTTCCCCTACAACTTCTCCTTCCCCGATCCATTATCAAGGAGTGTGCCCACGAGGCACACATTCTCAGACACATAGAGGTATGTGTATACCAGCACCCACTCACATGGCTGGACACACAAGCCCCTACTTACATGTGCATACTAACAAATGTGCATGCAGGTATCTTCACACACAGGCATGCATGTTCACAGACATGTATCTGTGTTAACACGGTCATGCACTTAGGTGCAGACAAGCACCCACAGGTATGCAAAGCCAGGCACACCTACTGTCCAGCTGCACTGAGTGCAAACTCAGGCTTTGAAGAATTTGAGCTAGTTGTACTACATGCCTGTGTCTGATTGTATTGGTGAGCCCACGTGTGTGTGCTTCTATATGCATATTTATATATGGCTAGGTATTGTGTCAGGGTGCCATGTATGTGAAGGGCTCTCTGTGTGTTGATGAGGGCAGGGAGGGTCCTGTACTAGCCCCCAGACTTCTTCTCCAGATTTTCAGAGCCCCAGTGAAAGCCAAGATTCCCCCGTTTGCATTTTGTGTCACCCACCCCAGTCTCTGGTTCAAGGACTGGCAAAGTTTTCCTTGCCCAGTTCTCTATGCCACCTTCGTCCTGGGGTGCAGTGTCTGGGAGGGCAAGGGGCCAAGCAGATGGATGGCCACTCTCCTCTGCTGGGCTTGCTACCTACAGCCCTGGGAGTCAGGAGGAGCAGGCAACTTCCCAGAAACAGCAGGCTGGTGAGGGGGAGGGGAAAAGGAAACTTCTTGCTAGCTCAAGTTACGTGTTGGCCTGCAGGACCTGAGCCCAGCCCTCCTTTAACCTAGAGTAACCTTTCCTCCAGTCACCAGCCCCAGGAGGGAGCAGGGCAAAGGGGCTGGGTCAACTCCAACTGCTCCTGTGGGTTCCCCACTCTTAAAGGGACAGGATCCAATTAGGGTGACAGAACCCTAGCAGGAAGGAAGTGAGGAAAGTAAGCACCAAAATTCGTCCACACAACATATTCAGATTCACTTCACTTTTATTATGAACAAACACAATCTCAGATCAGTAAATGACTTCAGAGTCAATATTAATAGAAATTATTCCAAAATTATTCTTCGCAGGTCACAGATACTACGATCCAAAATAAAGGAAAAAAATTCCCAACCCAGGAAAAGGTATCCTGCTCATGTTTCCATAGCAACAGAGTTGCTGAGCTCTCCAGCTTCACCTCCCTCCACCATCCACCCCCTTCCCAACATGCTCAGCTCAGCCACTCCATCTCTACCCTGAGCCAGGCTCCTAGAGGTCCATGGCATCTTGTAGGAAGCTTCCTCAGCCGAAGGATTCCAAGGTGCTTTACAAACATTAGTCCCGCCTCACAACTGCCCTGTGAGGTAGGTCAGTATTATTATCCCTATTTTTAACAGACAGGGAAACTGAGGCACAGAATAGTTAAGTGACTTGCCCAGAGTTACACAGGAAGTCGGCGGCAGAGCTCGGAGGGGAGCCTCTCTCCCTAAACCACTACAGTTAACTCGTCCATCTTATTTCCTTCAATTTCTTACTCTGGCTTGTGTGAGCTGAACTTCAGGATACAAGCAAAACCAAGGGGAAAGTTTCTATTTTAAATGCTGCAACCATCCTTTAATCTAAAACAAAACAAAACAAAAAGCAAACAACACCTAAATCGAATACATTCAAATTACTTGCACCCGCCCCCCTGCGGGCCACTTAACAAGAAAGCCCCCAGAGAAAAAAACAAAAACAACAAACATTTTTTTTTCCCTCCAAACTGAAGCACAGAAATGCAGTCCTACAAATTGTCAGTTCTCCTGCTGGGTCTGGGTCTCGGCTCTCCCACCAGCTGCTCTCTCTGCTCAGAGAGGCTGTAGAGAAAGCAGTAAGGAGGGGAGCGGAGGCAGACTCACCCTCAGTACTGATGAGAGCCCACAGAAGGCACCCAGAGGAATTTGTTAGCCTGCCCACAGAGCAAGGAGTAATGGAAATTCAGGCTCCGGCGGTCCTGAGTCCGTTTTGAATTGTTTGTTTTTAAATAGGTTTCTTTACTTTGAGCTTTGTCATCTTCTCATAGTATCCCTTCCCCTGACAGTCAAGACAGATGCCAGGACTCCATCTGGCCTCGTGCAGGGTCAGAGGATGGGTCTCCATTGAACACTGTTAGAAGAGACAAGCTGTTTTCATTGTGTTTATTTTGTGATGTCCTGTGGGATTAACATTCCCAACAGACCTCTCTTAAGGGTAGGCCCACACAGGCCAGCGGATCTAAACTACACATGGATATTTCTAGCTATTTCTTTCCTATTGGGATGAACAGCTCAGAAGGCTGGGTTTCCAAACCAGTCTGAACCTTCCACCCAGGCCTGTTTATTCTTAAAACCCAGACAGAAAGCATGCTGCCCTCTCCCACCCCTACCCCAACCATGGGGCTGGCACTCTCAGTAAGACAGCAGCAAAGCCAAGGGAGAGCAGGAGAAGGTGCTTTGAGATCCCTCAAAGCCCAGTGGTGGGTTTTCCTCCACCCATCTCCCTGGCTAGGTGGTGGGAACATTCCCACCATTCCCTTAAGCCAGCTGGGCCAAAAACTGGTCGAGTGTGACCATTACAGCAGCTCTGGCAGGCAAGAAGGAAGAGTAAGTAAGATCTTCCAGTGATTTCCCTTCCAATCAAGAGAGCCCACTCAGTAGCCCCCTAAACCAGCCAGAAGCCCTCTGCCACTCAGCAGCCCTGGGCTTGGCTTGCACAGGTAACATGGAACACCCAGCATGCTGAGGATGAGAGGAAAAAGAATAAAAAAAAAAGTTTCCTCCCTCCCCAGTGGCTGGCTCACTGGGATGACACTGACGTTTAGTTGGGGCTTAGCTGAGTTTCCATCTGACCTAGGGATGTTCCCCAGCAGGTTTGCCAGCTGTGCCTTGAGTCAACAGGATAGTGGGGCAGTGAGGGAAGCGGGCAGCCATATTACAGAAGGAAAAACCAGTGGAGCTCCCTGGCCCTGAGCAATTCCAGCCAAGGCTGCTGCTGCCTGCCCAGAGACAGGAGGGGGAAGAGGTTAGGAAGACTAGGTGAAGCCAAGGGTTAGCCCCCAAATCCCGACTGTGCCTCCCCAGACAAGTTTTAGGTTTTGGAAGGTAGGAGAGAACAGTGGGAAAAGATTGACAGGGTAGTGTAGGCTGCAGAAGGGACCCCCCATGGATCCACCTACAATTGGTATCTAATCCATTTTCTATAGGGAGAGGATGGATCTTGGACCCTTCAGACTTGACGTGTTTCTAAGCCGTGCCCCCAGCCTCTTGGGCTCTTGCTCAGCAGTGAGGGGCAGGGGAACCATCACCCTCATTCTTCCTCCTCTTCTCCCAAAATTCCTGGATGGAGAATGGGGGGACAGGGACGTTGAGGTTGGTTGGTTTTACTTTTCCAATGCGTTATTGTTTCCTTAACTTTTCCCTCAATCTCTCCCCAGGTCAGGCCAATTTCACGAGGAACTAGACTTCTTGCCCCTCAGTTGTCGGGGTGTGCTTGATGTCTCCTTGCCCTAAGCTTTACAGAAGCATCTCTTTATGGTTTAGCATCCCTGCAGCCCAAATTTCCCAGGCTGCAGGGCCAGACAGCAAGCCCACTTGGTTGAGGAGCGGGCTAGCAGGATGGCTGGCAGAGAACTTGTCCTTTTTTCTCATACCCCCCTCCCCAATCATAGTAGGCATGCTACTTCCCTTCCCCCTGCCTGGGTTTCCAGGAGGAAACAGCAGCTAAGAAGAATGACCCTCCTTCACTCCAGCTGGTAGGGAATGAGGCTTGGCCTGAAAGAGCTGGAAAAGTAGTCTTGACACCCCCCCCCCCCGCCCCCGGCTTAGGGAGGGCCAGAAGGAAGAGAATCACTGAGGGGAAAGAAGAGGCCACCAACAGTGACACTACAGAGAAAGAGCCAGCCCAGGGCCCACCAGCTGCTTGCTTAGGAGGCAGTGAAGGTGGGAGGGGAAAGAAGAGAAAGGAAAGGTGATCAGAAGGAAAGAGGAGGATGAGGAAAAGCAAGATCATCTCAGCATTCACAAAGGCAGAGTTGTTGGCTTTCAATACATTTGCATTGTAAAGGAATACTGTATTGGAATGGGTTAAAAAAAAATCATCATCTTTAGCATCTGGTAGCATTATTCAGTAGTTAATAAAGAGAACATTAGACCTCTGCCCAGCTGGCTTGGTGGGGGGCGGGGCAGGAGGCCTCAGCCGCTCTTCGAGCTCCCTTCACCAGTTCTGGAGCATCTGGCAAGGATGGTGGCCTTGGAGACTTTCTTTCGGTCGTAGGCCAAGCCCAGGAGACACATGCAGTCGATGAAGAAGGTGGTAAAGTTGATGTGCCAGCGGTACTCACTGGCAGAATAATCGTATGGGAAGGTGTGATGGTAGTTGTGGAAGCCTTCACCTGTTACAGCAAAAGAAGAAGGGGTGAGCGGGTCATGGAAGGCAGCCCTAGCCCCTAGGGAGTCACGGTTCAGCGGACAAGGGGAGACCACTCTCTAATGTGTGGTGGACCCTGCCTTATTTACCACCCAATCAACCACCGAGCATTGGTTTTTTGCCTACTAGGTGCCAGGCATATGCTGGGGACACCAAGATGGTCCCTGCCCTCAAAAAGCTTACATTCTATTGGAGAAGAGCCTACACAGACCGTAAGTGTATGGAGGAACTAGTAACAGAAGGCCCTTAAGCAGGAAATGGACATTTGAGCCGAGCTCTGACGGAAACTAGAAGAGAGCAGAAGGTAGGGTATTGCTGGAATAGAGCACAGCCTGAGCAATGACATGCAGCTGGAGTGTCATTTCTACGGAACTGCAGTAGGACAGGATGCCTGGAATGTAAGTGTGCAGAAAGAAGAGCCAGGTGCACTAAGACGCCAAAGGTAGGTTGGACTCACTTTGGCAGCTGGATGAAGGATGGATTCAGATAGGAGAGACTTGAAAAGCAGGAGTTCAAACAAGGGATGACTACAATAGTCCAAGTGAGTCTATGATGGCTTGCACTAGGGCTATGGCTGTGGGTGGAGGGAAGAGACTGTGGACCCAGCCTCTCAGGTCTGCTATTTGGGGGAGAGGGGAAAGAGGAGGGAAGAGAAGAGCAGGGATAGCTCTGGCCACTGCAAGAGCAAAGAGGAAAGAGAGCTCTGGAATCCCCGCTTGCAGCTACTGTTGGCACAGCACATGCCGGCATGGCCACCCGGCCTTCTCCAAGCTCCAGGTTCTCTGGGGAGCCAGCCTCTGAAAGCTCTCCTGGGTCCCTGCCAGAGAGCTAAAAAGCCCCACTAACCAATGGGACTCTTGGGGCAGTAAGGGCAGTTTCCTCTTGGCTGAATAATAACATGACATTTACACAGTAAACACAGTATATTTACATATGCTATTGTCTTTGATCTTTAAAAATCTAAGAAGCTAAGATGTATAACTAGAGGCATTATTATCCCCATTTTACAGATAAGGAAACTGAGGTCCAGAAAGGTTAGAGTGACCATGGGGTCACACAGCTATTAGGGTCATAGGTTCAGGGCCTGAAGGAACTTTTTGTGGAGTCACTTTCAACTGCGTCTGACTCTCTGTGACCCCATTTGGGGTTTTCTTGGCAAAGACAGTAGAGTGGTTTGCCATTTCCTTCTCCAGACTGTTTAACAGATGAGGAAATTGAGGCAAACACGGTTAAGTGTCTTGCCCAAGGTCACACAGCTACAAAGTGTCTGAGGCTGGATTTGAAATCAGGAAGATGAGTCTTCTCAGTTCCAGGCCCAGCACTACGTACCACCCAGCTGCCCAAGAGAAGGGGCTTTAGAGGTATTAGCTTCCTCCTACCAAAGAGAATGAAGTTGGGCCTGAACAGGTTGAATCACTAAGTGTCAGAAGTGGGATCTGAACCCAGACTTATTCTCTTATTATTATTATCTTATTATCCACTAGCCCACACTGCCTCTTCCAAGAAATCCTAATTTGTATGCAGTTCCCTGTTAGTAGGCAGGGATTTTTCTCAGCCCAGGAACAAAGATTTCTAAGTCCTTCTCATTGCCCTGGGCCATGGCTTCCTTTTCCTATTGGTAAGCAAGGGTGATAGTACTGACCTACATCGAAGGCCCCATTGCTGCTCTAATAAAAGTGCTTGTTCAGCCCCAAACTGATAAAAGTGCTCCAGAAACAGCAATGACACCATTAATAACATCTGAGGGCAGGAAGTCCTGGCTAAATGACAGGGCCAGGGATCAGGAGCTATATATTCTCTGACACCTGCTTATCTACAACGTGAAACCTGTGGGAGGGAGGGGATAACCCCGGAGCCGAAGGTTGAGACTGCTCAAAGGAATCAGTGCCAATGTGTGGAGATGCAAAGGGGACCTCGAGAGGGCTGGAGGTGTGGAAAGGGCTTCAATCTGGGTGGCAGAAAGGGCAGAAAGGAGGACACATACAGAGGGGCATCTCCTCGGTGGCAGACCGGGGCAGAGGACAAGCCATAAGATGAAAAGCACTTTGAGGATGGTGAACATGAAGTGGGTCCAAAGCCCAAAAGCCGTTTGCCCTGACACTCCTGGACTTTCCTGTTTATTGTTTTAAGCCACATTCATATACAAGAACACAATAACAGAGCCAAGGAAGATGGACGATGGCTAAAAATCAACATGTTAACTAGCAGAGATGGGGCAGCAGGGGTAGAGTCCACAGGCATGCCTAGAAGACAGTGAAAGGTGATGCCAAGGTGAGGAATCCCAGGATGATGAAACAGGGCCAAGAGTGCAAACCAGAGACAAAAACCATTAGAGAGAACGGGGACATTGGAAAGGGGGACTGGGGTCACAGAAGGACCATTAGAGGCCATCTAGTCCAATGCCTTCATTTGGTAACAGCTAGAGAGATGAAGTGACTACATATCCCTCCAGCCATATATGGCAGAGCTGGGATTCCCACATAGATCTCTGACTCCCGAAGCCAGCCACCTTTTCTGTTCCCTTGGAGGAGACAGGGAGGGCAAAGTACCTGTAGCTAGGTGAGCTACATTGGAGTTCTTCAGTGGAGAAGGGCCACTAAAGTTCACCCCACTCATTTGACAGATGCTAACAGCCACTCAGAAGTGAGGCACACAGATTAGGTGATTTGGTTAGGTCCCAAGAGTAAGAAGGCTGTACGCATTAGAACTGGGAGAGGCAATCCTTCCAGTAAACCTTGACTATAGGGCTGAGCCACACCCTTAGGTGGATGACTGGGTGGGAGGGGCAACCTAGGCAAAGAATAAGGAAGAATGGGATGGGAGAAAGAGGGAGACTGAGCACTTGATGGCAGGAGTAGAGCCACAACCAACTGATTTGTGTCCTTGTACCAATGAGTGGCACGGCTCCTGCCCCATTACCAAATCTGACCTTGGGGATGCTGTGGAATTGAGGGACCAAGATCTGGTCACCATTTTGGTAAAGGGTTAATACATTTACAATAATAACAATGATTATATACATAACATACACAAGAGAAACTTTCTGGTCAGTCTGGATAGATAGATCCCTAGAGAGATCTCCCCATGGAAGCTGTGCCCTTTGGAAAATTCCTCACCCAAGCTAGGCTAGAGCTAAACCAAGACAAAGAAGACTGCAAGGGGAACAAGGAAAGGAACAGACTTCATTCTGCACAGCTGTACATATCGAGACATCCATTCTAGAGACCCCCACTATGAGCCCAACCCTGCCATTCTGAAGACAAGAAAACTAGTAGAACACAAAGCTCCTTGAGGGCAGGGACTGTTTTGTATTTATCTTTGTGCTCCCTGAGCCTAGCACAGTATCTGACACAGAGCGGGTGCTTAATTGATAACTTGCTGAATTGAACCATTTTTTATGAGCCATGGCTTATCCATGGTCACCTAGAACTGGGCTTCAAACCCAGGTGACTGACTCCCAAACCAGTGGTTTTCTCATTCCGCCATGCCAAGGTTAAGAGTCTTGGGATTTCAGGTGAAAGATTCTTTCACCGGCAGAATAAAAGAATTTGAGCTGGAAGGGGCCAACAACCACACCCCTCCCTTTTCATAAAGGAACCCTTACCCCTAAAGGCCCAAGATGAGGGAGATCCATTGGAAAAGGATAGGCCCTACTTGTCAGGGAGAAAACCTGAGATGCCAAGCGGTAAGCAGGCTCCCCCCCATCAGTACATACAACCAACCAGGCAGTCAAACTGTCCGCCCCGTAGTTTTGACCTCCCTACATCCTGGGAACATACCTACAGCTCCAAGGGCCACCAGCATGTTCTCCCGGGGGTTGATGTTTTTATCATAGGGCCGGCTGCCATACATATGAGCAGCGCTGTTCACCAGCCAGGTGGCATTGAGCACGACGGCATAACGCAGGAGAGTGGCAACATACAGGCTGTGAGCAAAATTCTCACCCCAGAAGTACCAGGGGACAAATGTGGGGAGAACGAAGCACATGAGGAGGATGCCGGGCTTGTAGTATCTGTCAAGAGAAGATGCAGCACAAGAAGTCAAGGATCGGGGGCAGCTAGGTGGCACAGAGGATAGAGCACCGGCCCTGAAGTCAGGAGTACCTGAGTTCAAATCCAGCCTCAGACCAAACACTTGACACTTACTAGCTGTGTGACCCTGGACAAGTCACTTAACCCCAATTGCCTACCAAAAAAAAAAAAAGAAAGAAAGAAAGAAAAAAAGAAAAAAAAAAAGAAGTCAAGGATCCCTCAAGGCAGGAGGTTAGTGACATCAATCCTCAGCTAGGCCAGGCCTAGGCTCCCAGCCTCATCTCCACATGAGAGGGAAGGTGGGACAGGACCAGGAGAGATGACAAAATTATGGGTCACTGTACTAGAGCTAAAAAGGACCTTCACTAGTGTGTAATCTTCCTTCTTTATTTTACTGAGGCCCAGAAAGGTACAACAATTTACCCCAGGTCACCCAGGGAATATCTGAGACAGGGATCTGAATCCAAGTTCTCTGGCTCCAGCTTTCTCTCTAGGTACCACACTGCTTCCACGGTTGTTCGTGGGTTTTTATTTCTTCCTGCCCACCCTCTTTTTACATACACAGCCCATGGAGGTATAGATCTCTTCTCCTCCTGGAGACCTTTCAGGCTAGAAGTCCCTTTCCCCACCTTCCCCAGAAGTACCCAGGTAGCCAAGAATCATGGAACTAACTCCCATTTCTATGGTGCTCCAAAGACCATAACTGGCTCTTCATAATAACCTTGTGAGGGAGGCATTTTATAGGGGAGGAAATGGAGGCTCAAGAGAAATCATATGACTTGGGCACTAAATACACTCAAGTCTTCCTAACTACAAGTCCAGCATTCAGTCTTAAGTACCTACTGTGTTCCAGGCGTTGCACTAGGAACTTTACACTTTCAGTCCTCAGCCAACAACCCTGGGAGGCAGGTGCTATTGTTATGCTCATTTTACAGATGAAGAAACTGAGGCAGACAGGGTAAGTGACTAGTCCAGGGTCAGATCTGAACTCAGGTTTTCCTGGTTCCAGGCCCAGGCACTCTCCACCAGCCCCACTGGCCCCCTTCCACTCACCTCCTTTGAAACATCACCAGCTTCTCAGCTTTCAGATCGGACAGGTCAAGCAAACGGCCCTTCTCGATGACATCTGGGTGTTTTCGCACTAGCAGCCAGCCCACATGGGAGAAGAAAAACCCACGCTGGGCATTATGGGGATCAGCATCTGTCTCAGAGAACTTATGATGGACACGGTGGTCCCGGGCCCACTCAAAAATGTCATTCTATGGACACAAAAGAGAGATGGCCATGCATGAGATAAGGAAAAAAGCCAGACACATGAGGACGAGCCCAACCTCCCTGACTGGTTTCCACTTTAGACCACAAATGAAGGGACGTTTTGCAGGCTTGGGGATAGCCCAAGAAACAGGACTGGCCTCTTCAAACCCTGCTAGCACTCCGAGCCCCAGGGAGTACAACAAGGCAATGTTGGACAAAGGACCCACTAGACTAGACTTCTCCCATTGCCAAGACAGCCAGCCCACCAAACTGCCCAGGAACCCTCATTCTACTCTAAGCACCTGGGCAAATGAGAGGATGTGAGCTCCCAGGATCACAGGACACACTATGGAATTCTGTTCTAGTCCCTATTCAGTGTGTCGACATCCTACGAGGCCTGCCACATGCCCTCCAGAAATGAAGAGCCGAACTGCATCACTGACAGAGGAGAGGAAGCCCAGAGGTGTATAGTGCCATAGTAAATACCCAGGACACATGCCAGGCAGGGGAAACGGACTGGATGTTTACCCATTGAATGTTCACTCTCCTCCACCCCCATGAAGAGGCGGGCTCTCTCAAATTATTTATGTATCTATAGCTTGGAGCCTAACAGGTACTAAAGGATTCCTCCCTCACCTTTGGAGCTTCTTCCTTAGGAAAGACAAACTCTTGACACAGCTGACCTGAGAGCAAGCTATGGTTTCAGACAGGTCCAAGAGATCAGCTGGAAGGGTAGGCCTTGATTACATAGCTCTTGAGGGGAAATGGGAGCTTAAGAGGACCTCTACGAGACTCTCAGCTCACTGCTTCTGGCAAAGGGCCACCCAATGGGTGAGCTCTCCAAGACTGGAGTACATACCCACTTGTCAGAGACCTAATCCATTGAACAAGGACGGAGCAGGGTGTGACCCCAGGAAGGAGCCCCTTGAAGTTAGGTTATATAAATATATAATTGGACATAATCCCAGAGCTGGGAGAGATGCTGAAAGAGCCTAAAATCTAGGGGTTCTCTAACCCTTTTGTCATGTACTCCTTGGGCAGTGTGGTGAGGCCTATGAATCCCCTTTCAGAATGTTTATAAATGCACAAAATAAAATACATAGGACCACAAAGGAAACCAATTACATCAAAATACAGTTATCTATATATTTTAAAAATAAATTTACAGGCCTCAGGTTAAGAAGTTCCAGCTCTAATCCCACTGGGACTCACCCAAAAAGCCATTATGGACAAAAAAAGTTCACTTTTTTTTTTCTCATTAGAAACCTCTCAGATGTGCTTTCCCTGGTTTTTTCCCCCATTAGAATGTAAGCTCCTTGAGGACAGGCAGGGGATGTTTCACTTCTGTTCCTCTACCCCCCCCAGTGCTTCTCACAGTGCCCAGCAAATATTAGGTGCTTAATAAATGCTTATTTTTGATGGATTGACTGTTCCTCCTGAGACAATAGCTACCCAGCACTTAACAACTTCTGGTATGCAGTAGGTGCTTAATAGCTCCTCACCTGGAAGGCCATGGTGTTAGCGATCGTCAGAAAGACTCGGAGGGGCAGGCGTGCCTTGTAGGTTCTGTGACTCCAGAGGCGGTGGGCTCCAGCAGTGATTCCCAGGGCGCTAATCAGGTAGTACCCAAATGCTGTTTGCCAGAAGGAAGAAGAAAAGCCAAAGGCAGAAAGTCAGTGTACATTTCTTCTTTCTACATGTCTCTGAATGCACATTTACTTCTTGTACGTCTCCCCCAGTGTACATTTCTTAAAAGCATTCTTAGGAGAAAGGTAGGCCATCGCTGAGCTACTATTTGCTCTGACCCAGATCTGTTTGTAATTGGTACCTTACGTTTCACTTCCCTGGAGCCTAGGAATCTCCCAGACACCTCCCAAGGGCTTGAAAGAGGCTCTGGAGATAGTATCAGTATCTCTGAGCACTGAGAGCTCTAACAAAGCAGGCAGAGGAGAGCAAGCCCTCCCCGCACCCAGCTCCAATGGCTGGCGGCTCCAAATGGCTGGCTTCGGAGAGAGGCTCCAGCTGGGGGCTGGTTTGGCTTCACCCAGCTGTCTCTGGGACTGGCTTCCCTATCCCTGGGACCACAGACAGGGCTTCTCCTCCAAGTCTTTGAACCCCACAACAAACTTTCTCCATCAGCCAGCACACTGTCTTTAAAGGCAAAGCTATTTATTTCCAGGCAGTGCTTGGGAACAGTTTAGAAATGTCAGCTTCACACATGCGAAGCCTCCAGGACTGAGTGAGAACAGAAGCCCCACAGAGTTACCAGGCACATTTTCTGCCTAAGAATGGGCTTGCTGGGTGACCCCAGCTTCCCAGAGGACAGAGATCTCCAGGAAGCTGAGGTAGGAACAGCAATTAGCAGCTGCTCATAATGTTTAATCCTAAGGGGGAAAAACCTGTCGGGTAATAAGCCATCACTGGCCACTAAGTCTTATCAACTTATGATGCCACAGAGATCAATGCTCAGGAAAGCAATGCTCTTGACAGTTGAGAGGCAATGTGGTGTTATGGATAGAGTGCTAGACTAGTGAACCAACCAGGAAACCCTGGGTTCAAATCCCACCTCAGGCATTTACTATGTGACCCTAGACAAGTCATGAGACCTTTTTTGAGTGTAACAGCAGAAAGCTCCTTTTCTGTGGAGTCAGAGGACCTACATTCAAATCCCACTGCTGCCACTGGGTGACCTTAAACAAGTCACTTAGTGGTGGTGGTTCTTCTGTCCCCTCCTCTGTAAAATGAAAGGGCTGGATTAGATGGCTTCTAAAGTCCCTCCCAGATGAAGATCAATGAGCCTATTATCTTCATCTGTAAAATGGGGATAATAACAGCCCTTTCCTCCAAGAGCCTGTGTGAGACTCCAATGAAAGAACAGATGAAAAGCTTTTACTTATTTTTTGGCTATATAAATGCAAGCTGTAACTTTAAGAAACCAGTCCACCTGTTTTTTCCTCCAAGAACTTTGAGGCTCTCCTTAAAGACACATGAAGTTTTCTTTTTTTGTTTTGCTTTTTGGCAAGGCAATCAGGGTTAAATGACTTGCCCGGGGTCAATACAGTAAGTGTCACATGTCTGAGGCCAGATTTTAACTCAGGTCCTCCTGACTTCAAGTCTGGAGCTCTATCCACTTCACCACCTAGCTGTCCCCAGACACATGGAGTCTTAACGGAATCCTGTAGGCCACTTCAATCCCTAGTCCTTATCACCCAAGAAGGACCAAGTGGCCTCTAGACACCAAGAGGAAAGATTCTCCACAGGGGGAAAAATCCAAGTTACCAGAAAGATAAGCAGTAGCCCTTGGGATCCTGTAGGGCTAGGAAGCTCCAGACTCCCCATCCTGGATATGGTCCTCATGCCTTGCACTCTCCATACAACAAGCCTCAGCCTACTTCACACTTGACCTCAGCACACTCTCACAGCCGTGCAGCCAGGGAAACCAAGGCACAGATCATAGTGACAGACTTGCCCAGAATCACACAGTGAGTCAGTGGGTGAAGCTAGGAATAGAACCCAGGAGTCCCGACTCCCACACTCTGGCTCCTTTCTCTTACAACACCCACAGAGTCTGTCAAAGGAAGACTAAAACCTAAAAGGAAGGCTATTAGAATCCCATCGCTGAGTCAGCATTGGGCACTGCCAGGCACAGCCCAACCTAAAGAAGCCTTAGCCAGGTTCTTTCTTTCTCTGATAGAGAGAATGAGGTACAAATGGGGCAGGAAAGGGGTCTCAAAGCTTTGCTACAAAGGCTACCTCTCATCTTGACTTTCCCAGCTGCCAAGCCCATCAGGGCAAAGGTGTTCAGGATCCCAGATCCCAGTCCTATCATCAGCACAAATGGGAGGAGCCCAAAGCCCTTTGAATCCCTCTCTTCCACCCCATACTGGGGCACTAGCTTTTCCTCCTGGGATAAGGCAGAGCAGTGCCTCGAACAGCCCCAGTAAGGCTAGGGAGTCCCTTCCATACCAGGTCATGCTCATTTCACAGACACCCCTCCCCCTGGGTCCTCCAGACATGCTAAAACCACTCCCAGTAACAGATCTCCCCTAAGCTCCTGGCTGGAAAGAAGACTCCTAGGAGCCTACCTCATCTTCCCCTCTTTCCAGGTAGAGCTGTTTATGAGTCTATTTCTCTCCTGGGAGATTCCTCCTGACCTTTGTCCTGCCTTGCCTGTACAGACCCAGAAGGGATGGAGTGTAGCTGCTGGGCTCTTCCACGTATGAACTCTTCCTGGGCCCCAAGGCAATTGCCTACCTGAGCCTGGTCTGTCTGCCTACCTCTCCTGGGTTTCACACCCCATTCCTGGGAGCTGAAGAAACACAGCCTCCCTTAAGTCTACAGAACAGACAGGATTACATTACTGTCCCCATTCTTCAACTGGACAAAAAGGCCCTGAAGAGAGAGTGAGCTCAGGGCAGCATTTCCATGTCTGCAGCTGAAGGTGGGATTCCCCCCTGGCCAAAGTTCGAAGATCCCAGGAAGCCTGAGGTGACACCCAAGGGACCAGTTACCCAGTTCCTCTGCTCGACCCTGACAGACACATGAAATGAAAACCTGACCTGCTAAGAACAACAGATGTCTTTCAGTGCCCTAAAGTTGGCGAAGCATTAACTCTCTGGAGTTTTACGGCAGCACTGTGAGGTGTACGCTAGAGGCATTATTAGCTCCATTTTACAGATGAGGATGGCGAGGTTCAGAGAGATGAAGGTTATCTGCTAGTAGGCAGAATTCGAATATGAACCCTGCTGACTCCTAGGCCAATGCTTTATCCACTACCCCTCCTGATCTTGCTTTCACAAGTGGGCTTTATAGGTCTCCTTGGCTCAAACTCTCACTTTATACCACAGGTCCCCCTCTTTCTTCAAGACCTACGATAATAGTAGCTCAACTCCCTTCAGATCTGGATGGAAGGCCCCTAAAGCCTGTATTTGCTTTTGCCCTTCCCATGCCAGCTTGTAGCCTCAGAATGGGAGGGATGGGGCCACTTCTGTGAGAGGCACATGTGTGAGGCCCTGGGACCAGCACACACAGATGGAGGGCCTTGAAAAGCCCCATCAGAGATGGCAAGGAGCTGAGATGCTTTTCCTAAAGCAGCTCTTTGTTACTCAGCTGGCACAAGGCCTGGGGTCTGCTCCCTGCTCCTCTTGGCTCTCCGTCCTGGTCCAGGCCTGTCCTGCTTCCTCCAGGCCAGCCAAATCCCAGGGGGCCAGGGGTGGCAGTGGATGACGGACACAACAGGGAGAGATGTGGGTGAAACAGGCAAAAGGGAAGGTTCATGAGCTCTGCTGCTTTTTCAGACCATGTCTGTGGCACTAATTATATGCCCAGGCACACCCAGCTACCACAGCCGTGTAACATGGATACGGGAATCTTCCTTGAGCCTCTCCCTACTAAGAGGAATCAGTCTGGCTATAGGGAGCCTGAAGGACGGGCTCCCTTCCTGGCAGAAAAGAAAGGTTGGGAGGTACAAAGGACCTGGAATCATAGAGAGAGTGTTTCATGGTTTTCAATGCACTTTATGCCCACGATCTCATTTCTGAGGCACGTGGTGGGTACTGACCCCGTCCCTTCAACAGCAGCTAGTGCCTCCCCAACTCCTGCTGCTCCCTTGGTTGGGGGCCAGGGGCCAACCTGTTCCGCACCTCCCTACCATGTGGCTCCATCCACCTCCAAGCCAGGCCACCATCTCAGGGCTCCCTTTTCTCCACAGCAGGGACTGAGGCAGGCCTACTCCTTCTGCACCCAACAAAGGGGACCTGCCCCTTGGACCGACAGGAGGCTCCCTCTACCTTTGCACTAGGAAGGGCTGGGGGCCAGGACAGGAAGGTCGGTCCACTTACTGAACATCAGGGTGTAGATATGGGAGGAAGGCACCAGGAAGATCCCGTACAGGGCTCCCAAATGAAGCATGCTCATCAGGATGATATTCCTCCAGACGTAGATGAATTTGGGTTTAGGGCCTTCCTTCTCTCGGTAAGTGGGGTCGAACATATCATCCCGCACCTCATGGTTGATCCCCTCTTCGTCCTCCTTAATAGATGCTTTTGACGCTGCCTTGGCTGCTCCATTCTGCAGGGCCCTCGAGGAAGGGGCTGTGATGGTGGTTGTGGTCGTCATGGTGTAGGAGGGGGAGATCTGGGGGTCAAGAAAAAAAATGCTACAATGAGCCATACTGGAGGGGCGGGACGGTGCTGTAATAAAGAGCGCTGAATTTAAAATCAGGGGACCTGGGCCGTGACTCCTGACCACAACAAAGTTATTTTCCCTTTCTGGGCCTCAGTTTCCTCATCAGTGTAACGAGGGGGTTGGACTAAGTAGCTTAAGGGCCCTTCTGGGTCTAGATTTCTGATCCTATCGGCTTGATTACCTTTGCCATAGTATAGAGACCCAACAGGATGGGCTCCTAGTAGAAGATAAGTTCCCAGAGGGCAGGGACTAATTCTTCTTTGCCTCAGTTTCCCTAAGGCCTAGCACAGTTCTTTCAACAATGCAGAATATGTGTGTGTGTGTGTATATATATATATATATATATATACACACACACAGATATACATGTATATGCATATGTAAAAAATATTACATATAAAACATTTGTAAAATTAAATTGGCTTAGATCCTGTCCCCTGAACCAAGAAAGCTCGAAGGGCCCTGGGGAAAAAAGCCCATAGAAATAAATTCAGTGTAAAAAGGAGGGGATCTGAGGGCCCAAGGGGATTGGGGAGGGGAGGAGAAGAGGAGGGAAGCTTCAGAGATGGCATCAAACAATCTCGTCTTCTATCCCGAAAGTACCCTAAAACCGGGAGTTCCTCGGTGGCTGAGGCCCAAACCCTCAGCTAAGGAAGAGGCCAGCACCGTTGTACAGAGAGATAACGCGTGGTCTTGGTGGTGGTGGTGGGAGGGAGGGTCCGGTATAGTGGCAGGAGTACAATTTGATCTATTAAGGAACAAGCATTTGATAAGCGTTAATACAAAGAATGCGGTTCAGCCACTTGCTACTTGTGTGACCTTGGACAAGTCATTTCTCCTCTTTGTAAAATGGGGAGTGGGGTGGACAAGATGGTCTCCCGACGTCCTTTCCTTCTCTAAATGCTGGGTTCCGTCCTTGCCTCCACACTGCTCTCCCCCACGCACACCCCTGACCCTCCCTCCTCCTTCCCTCTCTGGCTGCCAGCTCTGAGCTCCAGGGACGCCAGAGGCGTCACGGCTTCTTCCAAGGGGCCTCACCTCCTCCTGTAGCAAGTGGGCTGGCATCTGGGTTCCTCGGGAGCAGGACTCGCTCTCCTTGGGCTGGAGCTGCCGAGGGAGAGTGGGCCCTTGGGCTCAGGATTCGGCTTCTCGCGAACGCAGGCCACCCCTCCACCCCGGCACCTTCCCGCCCCGTCCCGCAAGGCTGCTCCGCCGCCGCCGCCGCTTTGCGCTCGGATTCGGGCCGTGTGCCCTGCTCGTTCGACCGATTGTTCGATCGTTTGTTTTATCGCTCGCAGCTCTGGGCGGCTCTCGCCTTTCTAGCTAGCTCTCTCCGCGTCCAAAAACCAGACGCGTTCTGCTCTAGCCTCTCCGGTCGTGAGGATTTAAAGGCCCTAGCTGCCGCCCGGGGTCCCTGTCCTGGATTTCCTCAGACCCCTTTTATCCGCTGCCAACTCGGGCCAAAGTGCGTAGCAGGGTCCGTTGGCAGCAGCTGCCCGGCGTGGAGGGTGCAAGAGGGCGGGCGAGGGGAGGAGACAGAGCACCGGGGCGTGGAGAGGGCCGGGGCCCGGACCGGGGATAGAGCCGGGGATGCAGCCGCCGCAACCGCCGTCGCCGCTGCCGCCGCCCGCCGCCGCCGCCGCCGGGGAAATGCTAATGATGTCTCTGTGCGCCCCAGCGCGCCATTGGCCAAGGGGAATTTGGTGCCACCTTATTCTGCCTTCGCCATTGGCTCGGTGCAATCTGCTGTTCCCTCTGCCGCGAGCGAGCGGCTGGGCCCCGACCCCTCGCTCACCCGCCGTCCACCCCCCACCCCAAGTCCCTCCCTCCTTCCTGCCTTTCCTCCTCCCCCCACTCCCCGCTTCCCAGCCTCTGGCTCTCAGACCAGGCAATGGACAACTGTTCCCCGCTGCGCATCCTGGGGACCTGGCGGGGCGCTGGGGGCCCTCTCCGAGGGAGTGGCAGGCCTGGGGTCTCAGAGGGGGAGGGGAGAAGTGGGGGATGGGAAGACGTGGGGAAGAGGTATGAGGCTCCGACCAATTGCGATCCCGGGCCTGGGGGGCGCTCCTCAAAGTTTAGCCTGAAGCCCCAGAGTGGCATCCGCCACTCGCTCAGCATCCCTCCCCACTTCTGTGCGCCCAGGCAGAAACGTGAAAGGCAACAGGGTATGGGGTCCAAAACCAAGAGCAATGGGGATCCTAGGGCGGTGATCCCCACCTCAAGGCCCCTCCTCCGAATCCCTGTCTTCTTCCTCCATGCTCTTCCCCCTGTATTCCCTCCTCCCCCAGACAACAGCATTGTCCCCTCCAAAGTCCCCCTCCTCCTTACTGCAGCCCAGGTTCACAGTCCACAGCTAGACCCGGTGCCCCGCACTACAGAGACCAGCTGGTGAATTCAGACATGCGCATACCATCCCAAGCACCAGCTCAGCGTGTCTGGTCACACACAACCGACCGACCGGCGAAAGCACACAATCACTTTCGTACTCTAGTGTATACACCCAACCCTTTACATTCACATACCACTAGACTCACAGGCTCTATTACAACTCATACGCTAGTGTATGTGCATTGAACTCTTTGACACTCACACCAGTACATAGGGTTTTATGAAGAAGATTTACCAGTCTCTCGGACACTAGTGTCTACCCACAGACCAATGTCAACCTGAGATCATGGTTAATTACACAGGCCAAGTATGCACATGGACAGAAACACAAACATTCCTAAACCAGTGTATACATGCTGCATATATAGTTACTCTGGAGAGCACAGTATAGTCACACATGCCAGTGTGGACAATCACCCCAAGAATACAAACACAAACCAGTATGCACACAGAGCAACTTAGCCCCACATATGCAGTCACATTTACACATACTTCCAGGCACATGCATGAAATCAAAAGGTGCCCACGTTCTTCTGGTAGCAATGTCTCGGAGATTCTTTGGGGTGCTGGAGTGTGACCTTGTGCTCTTTTCTTTGTGTTCAGGGTTCATTTAGCAAATCTCCCTAGTGTAAAACGGGAGAATGCTCAGAGCTGAGCCCTCCCAGTAGAAGGGCTGCCATGTGAAAACCAACCCCTCTGCCCTTCTCCACGTCCTGTCCTGTCCTGCCCTGCCCTGCCCTGCCCTGTCCTGCCCTGAGCAGAGGTGTGCTATTAAGCTGCCCAGTGTCCATGCTATACCAAGACAATGACCCAGGGAAATGACAGTCTTTGCTCTCTTAATGCAGAGCAGCCAGCCGGTGGTGTGTATGCATTAGGGGGCCAACTCCACCCCCTCCCCACAAGGAACCTCTCCAGGATCCATCTTCTTATTCAGGTTGTGCCCCTTCCCTCAGCAATTTGGTGGAATGAAAAGAGCATGGTGGAATTTAGAGGAAGAAAACCTGGGCTTGAGTTTCAGCTCTACCTTTGTAACTTGGGGCTAGTTTCTCTTTGAGCCTCAGTTTCCTCATCTGCCAAAAGACAGGGTTAGAATAAAATGATCTCTGAGGTCCTTTCCAGTAAATCCTAAAATACTAAGATCCTCCACTAAGCCCTCCTCTACACCTCTCCTCTTTGCCAGGGACTCCCACTGAACTTCCTACCCACACTCTTCCCATTTCTTCCTCTACAGCATGTTCCCCATGCTGTGTCCCACACCCAGGCTGAGATGAGATGGCCTTTGGATCCAGGGTAGGTTGGGGCCCAACCACTGAACTAGACAGAGAGGCCCCGAATCAAGGAGATGGGGGATGGGATAGTCCACGAGCTTGTTAGTCAACAATATTTCCAAACACCAGACTCAGAGTTCCTCCCTTGGTTAGGGCTGTTCTCAATGTCAGACTATCCCTCAGGGCCAATTACAAGGATTCTGTTTTCCCCTTTGGTGTTCCCCACAAGTTTAAGGTCCTTGGAAGAATGTCATCGTTGTTGTCCTCAGTGACTTGAAGAAATATTAGTCATCTGTACATGGTGACTATTCCCTTGCATCACCTCCCCCTCCTCTAACTGTCCCCTTTGTTCCTTCTCCCTTCCAGAGAGACTTGAGAGATCTCCTATCAGGCACTTATCTCTGGGGTAAGTGACATGGAGGTTAGCTTTAGTTAGGATAAGGTTATTTTCTCAAGGTCTAAACATATTCCTTCTGTTCCTCAAGGAGATCTTGAAATGAGCGGGGGGGCCCCCTAAAAACAGAAGGTATCCAGGGAAGGCCTCTCTGAGGTTAGTGAAAGGTTGCTGTTCTTGGACTTACCTGGACGGGGAGGGCAGACCAGGAAGTTTTAGTCTCACTGGGATCGGGGAAGGGGGTAGAAAAGGGAAGTGTTGCTGTTCTTCAGTCATGTTCGACTCTGACTTTTCATGACCCTATTTGGATTTTTCTTGGCAAAGATACTGGAGTGGTTTGCCTTTTCCTTCTCCAGCTCATTTTACAGGTGAGGAAACTGAGGCAAACAGGGTTAAGTGGCTTGCCCAGGGTCACACAACTAGTAAGTGTCTGAGACTGGAGTTGAACTCAGGAAGATGAGTCCCAGGTTGGGCCTAAAGGTGGGACTGAAGAGCTTTCAGCACTCCTTTACACCAAGGATTGGCAACAGCAGGGGAGGTGTGGTCTAGCCTTTTGATCTGGAATCAGAGGGCTTCTGGGTTTGAATCTCCACTTTGCCACTTATTATTTGGGTGATTGTGGGCAAATCTCTTCATTTCCCTGAGATGAAGAAAATGGATTAGCTGATGTCAATCTCTTCCAGTTTGAAATCTATGGATGCTGTACTTTGTAAGGGGAAACTCCCAGAGTCTAGTGAGGGGGTGGAAGTGAGAGGCATGGTGTCTGGTGAGAAAAGCACTGAATTTGGTGTTAGAAGACTTGGGTTCTGCTATTTAAGATCAGAGTGACTTTGGGATAGTTACTGAAGCCTAATAGCTCACCATTTTATCCACAGGATATAGCACTAAGTCCTCAGCCTGGTATTCAAGACCCTCCATCTGCAGTCTAGCCCTAAGTCCTTTTTCTAGGGAAAACAGCATGGAGCACAGTCAGAGGACCTGGGTCCTGGCTCAGTCCCCCACTAGGTGTGTGATTCAGGGTAAGTGTCAACCTCTCTGGGACTGTGGGGTTCGATTCAAGGACCCATGAGGTTTCTTTCAGCTGTAAATCCGTGAGCCTACTCTTTTAGATGTACTCTATACTCCTGGCTTGTCCTCAAGTACTATATTTATGTTGACAACCTCTCTGAAAGCCTAATGATGCAATTCTTCAACCTGCTTAATTCTAATGACCTTACTTAGCTTCATACTGACATGATCACCCCATAGACTTCATCAGTTTCTTGGTATGGCGTGAGCTATGAGATCCCACCCTTCAAACGTGACCAATCCCATTAAATTAGATGCTCCCTTGCTCACACTAAATAGACTCCTTGCTCTTACCATAGTCTTTGGTCATTTTATACATCTCTTCCCTGTTCACCCCTCTTTTACTTTAATTTCATTTGCCTTTTCATCCAGCCTTGATCCCATGATTTGCCATTTTCATGTTTGTTCAGCTCCTACATGAAAATCCCTCACACCCCCTCTCCCCATGACATCCCTTCATTTCTAATCTGAGAATCTTTATCCCTTTCTAACTCCTACCACCTGATTCCTCTGACACAGCTCTGGGATTTGGAGCATTGCTTGAGAAAGTAATGGAATCAGGCTAATTCAACCCCATATCATGAATGGTTCAAGACTTTAGCTGGGCCCCTGATGCTGCTTATCAGGCCTTCTACTTCACTTTAAAAAAAAAAGCTCATTCTCCAATATGATCTCCAGTGCTCACAGCAGATGCCCTGGCCTCCTACTTTCCTGAGAGGATGGAGGTCATCCCATTGGAACACTTCCCTTCTCTAGTCCTCAAAAAGGATAACCCTTCTTTTCAAAATCAATCCTTCCTTTTACCTTGATCTCATTCCCTCTTACATCCTCACAGACTTCTTCCCATCTTTCCACAAACATGCTCATGTTTGGCCAGTCCTTGCTTGTCTTGACCTTTTTAGGCCATCTAGCTATTGGGCCATCTCTCTATTCCCTTTCATGTCTAAAGGCCATAAAAAAAGGTTGGCTATGCCTAATGTTTTCATTTCTTCATCATCAATTTTTTTCTGCAGCCTCTTGCAAAAAAATTGTCATTTCTACCATGCTACTGAAACTTCCTTCTCGGTCACCAAATCCAGTGGCCTTTTCCCAGCCTTCATCCTCTCTGACCCACTTAGCAGCATTCAACACTGTTGGCCATTCCCTCCTACAGGCTACTGACTTCTCCTTTGTCTTCAGAAATACCACACTCTGGATTCTACTCCTATCTCTCTAACCGTTTCCTTCTCCTTTAATGATATCCCATTCTATTCTTGACTCCTCTATATGGATATTTCCATGAATCTGTCCTTGGCCTTCTCTTTTTCCTTCTAGTATAGTTATCTTTTTTGGTGTCTTGTCCTCTCACTAGATTCTAAGCTACTTAAAGGTGGAGACTGTTTTTTCCCCCTCCCTAAACCTTATATTTCCTTTAGTAGCCCATAGGTTTTAACAAATGTCTGATTTTTTGTTTTGTTTTGTTTTCTTGGAGATAGAATTTATATTCTTGGACCTTGGTTTAAGATAAAGGAATGATAGGCTCCTGGCCAGGAATATAGGCTATCCATCCATCTATCTATCTATCTATCTATCTATCTATCTATCTATCTATCTATCTGTCTGTCTGTCTGTCTGTCTGTCTGTC